TTATCGCCAGGTCTCGGTCGTATGTTCTGGTTGCATCTGGATTCGAACTCCGGTCTGTATTTCGACAAGTGGTAGCTGTCCTGTGCTCACCACTCCAAATTATTATCAAAACAGGAACAAGTATTTTTGGCATGGCTACGATCCAATCGCAGTGCGGATGGTCTGGGTCCATTGTCAAATCCAAAGCGTCTGAATGAGGCCCCCCACAAGGGAAAGAAAAATCTGACTTAAAGTCTTAAACACAAAAAACAAAAAAAAAAATCAAAAAAATGATAAAATCTGGAAAAAAAAAAGGTATGCAGCATAAAGGGTCACTCCGAACATATTCGGAGCCATCCAGACAGACGCCTGGCCGGACGTCTGGATTGGTCCAGCGTCCCGGTCTGGTGTAGCCATGCTTTTCTGTGCAAATGGCTGGAATTGTGCTGTTGGTAGAAAAACACGTTTGCCATTTTCTTGTTTTTGCTGCGTTTGCTATAATAATCACCCCCCTCACCTTCTTCTCTCCCTTTGGCCAAGTCTGTTTCCTCCCGCCTTTGTAGTCCGTAAAAGCCGCCTTTTCAATTTCACCTCAAGTCGTGCACGTGCCTTTGCAGCATCCATTTGCCGCTGCGATTCTTTCCGTTTTCCTCCCCCTTCAGACCCATGCAGGAGGTCCTTTTTGCTCTTCTGCTCCCTCCCACTCTTATCCATCATCCCCGCCGTCTCCGGTTTCCTCCCTTCCCTCCCCTTTGACCCGTTTTCCCTATTCCTCTCTTTGCCAAGCAGTACGCGGTCCCTCTTTCCAGAGAGCTTATCGTGCGCCTTCGGACTGCTTTGATCGCCGCCGTCGTCGTCCGTCTCACCATCATCGCCGGAATGAGAGAAGTTGTTGTCTTCATCTTCACTCTGTGGGATGCAAGCGCGTTGGTGGCGCTTTCTTCTTTCTGTTTTTTCTTTAACTGTTTAATTTTGTTAGTTTTTTATTTTTCCCTGTTTACCTCATGTGATATTGTTTCTTGTCTTGTACTGGTCTCAGTTATACTGTCGGTTCCCTGGAATTCATTTTGGAAATTTTGAATTTTCAAAATTCATTTTGGAAATTTTCAAAATTTCGATAAAATAGTAAATTGTGTATATGTAGTTTGCGTCTGAGAGGGGCATTGTTGAGCTGGGGTCCTTTGGTAAACCCATGAGCTGTTGAAATACAGACCCAAGTTCGAATCCAGATGCAATCAGATTGTACGTACGTTACCTAGGGCTGGTCAATTCAATGATGATATCTCACGGTCGTCGCCAACGAAGCAAAACAAAAAAGGCCAACAGAGTGAAGCAAAACAAAAAAGGCCAACAGAGCGAAGAGACACAGCAAAAAGGCATGAATATGTCATCCTCCATTTTTTTTTCTTTTTCTTTTTTTTTTCTTTTTTTTATCATCATCCTGATTCTGGGAGAACATGTTTTCCAAGTGGTCAGTAACTCGGATTGAGAGCGATGATCTTCTCAGAGAGGTCCATCAGCTCTCGCAAAGGACGCCTCTACCTCGACGGCATAGAGTGACATCAGATGACCCAAGACCCCACCTCCATTTATCTCCCCCAAACATAACACTGTCACACCCCATCACACCACCAACTCTGGCAAAGGGTGTCTCTACCTCGACACCATAGAGTGACGTCAGCTGACGTGAGACCCCACTTCCATTTATCTCCCCCGAGGGCCCGAACATAACACTATCACACTCTGTCACACGAATGAACCATACTTGCGGCGCATCCCGTGCGCGGGGTCGCGGCACATGTGGCGCAGAGCGCACGCCATACTTGCGACGCATGCCGTGCGCGGCATCGCGGCACGTGCGGCGTATAGCGCAGAGCGCAGCCTGCGCGCACACGGCATGCGGCGCATCGGCCAAAACAGGGGTCGTGGAAAAAAAAAAAAAAAGTTCGGGGGGGCGGTGGGAGGCCTGGAGGGGTACCGGGGGAAATTGCCTCCGTGGGCGCGAAATTTTTTTTTCGGGCCGCGCAGAGGCCCGGTAAATTTTTTTGGGGGAGATCTGAGTAGTTCGTTTTCGAACTACTCAGGCCTCCCCCACGCCGCCCGTTGGGCACCCCGGCACTTCACCGACCCACTGGTTGTGCCTTGTCTCCTTGGCGGCCGTCATGCCGTCATTCGTCGTTGGTCATGCCCGCCCGTCACCAGCAGCACCACCCCGAGCAAGAAACAGGAGGCAGCAGGAGGCAGCAGCAGGCAGCAGCAGGCAGCAGCAGGCAGCAGGATGCAGCTGGAGCAGGCAGCGGGAGCGAGGAGGAATCACCGAGCCGCTCGAGGTGGGTTGCCACCAGCTCTCTCTCTCTCTCTCTCTCTCTCTCTCTCTCTCTCTCTCTCTCTCTCTCTCTCTCTCTCTCTCTCTCTTCGCTCTTCCCTTCTCCTCCTGTCTCTGTCCTTTGAACACTTTACCATCCAATTACCTCTTTTTTTTTTTTTTTTGCCCTTGTTACGTTAGCGACAGGGCCTTTCACTCCGCGCGGCACCTCCACCGCTCCCATCCTCCACGCGTCGACTGACTCGACTCGCTGCCCCCTCTTTCCTCCTTCCTTTCTCCCTCCTCCTTCCTCCCTTTCTCCCACCTCCTCTCTCCCTTCTTCCTCATCCATCTCTACCTCCTCCTCCCTCCCTCCTCCTCTCCCCTCTTTCGTCCTCTATCTGTACCTCTCTCCTTCCTCACTTTCTCCCTCCTCCACGCAGCACCTCGCTTCTCCCTCCTTTTTCCTCCTCCCTTTCTCCCTCCTCCTTCCTCCCTTCTTTTTCGTCCATCTCCTCCCTTTCTCCCTCCTTCGTTCTCCCTTCTTCTTCATCCATCTGTCCCTCCTCCTTCCTCCCTCTCTCTCCATCCATCTGTCCTTCAAACACTTCACCATCCAATCACCTTTTTCTTTTTTTTGCCCTTGTTACGTTAGCGACAGGGCCTTTCACTCCGCGCGACACCTCCATCCCATCGTGCGCGCGTCAACTGACTCGACTCGCTGCCCCCTCTTTCCTCCTTTTCTCCCTCCCGCTTCCTCCTTTTCTCCCTCCTCCGCTCTCCCTTGTTCCTCGTCCATCTCTCCCTCCTCCTCTCCCCTCTTTCGTCATCATCTCTACCTCTCTCCTTCCTCCCTCCTTTCTGCTTCCTCCTTCCTCCATTTCTCCCTCCTCCACACAGCGCCTCACTTCTCCCGCCTCTTTCGTCCTCTCTTTCTCCCTCCACATGTCGACTCGCTACTCCCTCTTTACTCCTCCTTTCCTTTCTCCCTCCTCCTTCCTCCCTTCTTCGTCCATCTCTCCCTCCTCCCTTTCTCCCTCCTCCTTCCTCCCTCTCTCTCCACCCATCTCTCCTTCTTCTAGTTCTTCTAGTTGCCATCCGTTCCAAATTACAATCTCAATTTGGCATTTGCAGTTTTTTTTCCCTACTCCTTTCAGAATGTTGTTTCCACAATTCGATTTGCTCGT